AACCTATCTTTAGGTCATATGGCACCTACTGCTGCATTCTAATATGATGGGAATGTCAAATTCAAATTTGTCCGGATTTAAGTGGCGGACCCTGTATATGTATATATCACATGCTACATTATAAACGGAATTCTTACAAATTAAAAAATGTTTTTGTATAAAAACGCTTAGTACAGGATGCAGCAATACGTTACGCGCGGCTAGAACGTTACGACGCAATAACCAATCAATATGCTGTTTTTCTATAAGAGCAAAATGATTGGTTATTGCATCCTTTCTTGTTAATGCGTCACGTCTGCAATCAGCCTAACTGTATTAAAGTGACATAAAAACATACATTTGCGAATAATAATTTTGAAAAGATTTTACCACTTCCAAATAACTTTTATGTATACTAAATTTTCAGTACTAGCGCAAAGTTATCTTTCTGTCACTAATTGTAAGTATACTGAAATCAAATTTTTTGTCACACAAAAAATGCGTAACCATTTTGAATCAAAATAAGGTCTTGTTGACTTCAGTGTGTTCCTTGGATGGATGCACTTATATATATCTTTTTACTAATGTCACTTTTAGAATTAAAAGATATTAAAACAGAAAGAGATATCCTTGTAATTAAGATATTTTTTTCACAGAAAATGCGAGACGCCGGATGCGATCTATTTCCAGAACGTGATGCTTTTAGTTATGTAAAAGCTCTTCCGGTAAAGCATTCGGTAACTGAAAAACATCTACGGGAATGCATGGCTTTACTTTGCACCGCATACACATTTTCTTGGTCACGATGGAACGCCAATCGCAGTTTTAGAGAAATTGTGATACAGTTCAAAGAATTGCACGGATGCGTGGCAAAAGAGGTAACGTGCACAATGATTCATTTATCAAGAATATAAGTAAAGTATCAATATATATATTTTTTGATATAAAATACAAAGTATGCAAAAATAAATTTTTGAAAATACTATTGCTGTTTTATTTGATTGTTTTATAGCGAACAAACTCAACTCTTTTAGTAACCGCGTTACGAACGACTGTGATAAACTGCACTGAAGTGAGCTCAGAATTTTCTGATGTACCTATAGAAGATAAAACTTCGAAAGTAAGCAATTTTAGATAATCGAGCATGTCGTTAAAAATACATGTTTGCTTTTCTTCGTTGTATTTAATGTCATGCGTAAACTATTTTTTTCGAGTATTCTGTGCTATTAGTATTGACTCAAACTAAATGATACGATTGGAAAGTAAAACACAAGTAATGGAATTTAATTTTATATGTAAACAAAACAACAAGTATAGCACACACACACGCTGATAAAAGTGCCGTGCTTTTTCATGCCAACAAAACGTTGTCACGATATACAGTCGATAAAAAAATTTATTTATCGGCATCTTGCAAGAGCACAGCGTTGACATAATGTTTGTATAGCGTGTTACCTTCTTAGAACATATATATTGGAAAGGGTGTAAGATTTGCGATCTTAGTTAGTTTAAAAAAAAAGATAATTTTATTCACTTTCACAGTTATAATATTTTTAATTATAATTGTCACTTACACTTTAGAATTCGCAGAGTATTAATTATAGACGGCACGACCGAAACAATGGTTACTTGACAATCGGTTATAGTAACTGACACGCACGACTTAATGTAACAGACTGACTGACTGCCGCGCCCTATTCGAGGGCGGTACTTATACTTATTTCGAAAAAGGACCCTCATACTCGAAAAAAGATCTTTGTACTTGGACTTTGTGTTTGAGAAAAAGATCTTCGTACTTCAACTTTGTGTTTGAGAAAAAAATAGGGGAAAATCTTTGTATCATCGTGGGAGAGAGTCGAGGAAAGAAGTAGATAATGATAAGAAAGATATTTAATGTATTACGTGTACTATAGTCACACTTCTTTCCTTATAGAAAAAATTTGATGTATAATCAAATTTTATCTAGAAGTCTACGGAATGTATCAGGTTGCACTTGGTGATTTAAAGGTAAAACTACTCTAGGTTCTCGACCTCCAGTATAGCTTACATGTTGAGTTGGCGCTTGATTTCCAAAACTGCAATGGTTATAGCAATTTCCGAACAATTGTTTAACGAGACTGATAATGCTTGAAAAGAGTCCTATTTTATAAAGGAGAACAAGAAGAATAGAGCCAAAAGCTATATATCCTGTTAAATGAAGGTAGTACATAAATCTTTCTTTCCAGGTGATTGTTCTGTGGTTATCTAATATTTGGTCTGCGATGGTGTTTAATTCACTTAGGCCCGAATTCATAGTCGCTTCTCAAATCTTAGATCTCGTTTCCAATCTCAAATTTCAGCTCTCAGGTCTCGAATCTCCAACCTCAAATTTCAATGCAGTGGCCAATCATGAAATTCGGTGTTTCATGACTAAATAAAGATTATAGACTTTCGGTCCACTGAACCATTTTTGCACCAAACCAAACCAGAGATTATAGATTTTCCTAATTAATAATGGAGATTTATAATAAGGTATAAAAATAATGGTCTTCAATGAGAGGCCATAACCTTCAATTAAAAAATATATATTCGTATATTTTTTGGTTCTATTTTAAGTTTATATGGCATAATACTTAATAAAATTAATGGTTTAGGTTATCAAATTAACAAAGAAGAATTCTACACCAACATTTTCGGAGATTGAAAAAATATTATTATTGTCAATTATGTCATGTCTTTCTCTCTTGTTATAGTACACTTTATGACCACAAACTACCAAATTACAAGATAAACTATTCACATTCAAATTTAAGGTTGGAGATTCGAGACTTGAGAGCTGAAATTTGAGATTGGAGACGAGATCTAAGATTTGAGAAGCGACTATGAATTCGGGCCTTAGTGTTTTACCGAGAGTTTGTAATTTTTCTGGACCTACATGCGTTTCTTTTATTATATCCATGGGTATGTTTGTTAAGTTGTAATTCGCAAAAATGTTATCAAGTGGTTCGTGCGATGGTATTCGAATGGTTTGATGAATTTCAATGATTTTTTTAATTAGATTTTCGGGCTTTAGAGTCGCAGTGTCGGAAATTACTGTACAATCAGGTTCTAGATGAAGTATAAAATTTTGATAAACCCGTACGCTACGTGGTTTTTTATCTGAGCAAAGGACATGCAAATTTTTCTCTTTGGGTGCAATTCCAATCTTAATTCGCGTGGAGCTGGATTCACAACGTGTTCTGTATTTGCATGTACTTTGTTGTACATTTTTCTGATTCATGTTTAGTTAGTATTTTGCTTAAGCAATTATTTTTTATTCCGGTTTTATAATCTGGATACGTTCTTTTCAATAATTTGTAATCGCCTAATCTTTTCGCTTGCATTAATTCTAGTTTATTAATCGGCATAAAAGTAGTTCTATAAGGATCTATGAGTATGAGTCTTTGGGTTGTATCTATGATAGATTGTTTGAGCCAGTCGTGTTGGTAAAGATATAACCTTAGTTAATTCTAGAATCTTATCTTCTGTTAAAGGAATTAAAAGTTGTACTAACAACCGTTTTTCAGTTAAAACTATGGATACATCGCTTATATCTATGAGAGTCGTATAATATGTTTCCTCCAGTGGTACAGGAAAATTATCAACATGTTTATGTTCTCTAAGGACATCAGAAAGCTTTCTGGGAGATAGAATATATGGCTGCACAGTGCCATGTCTCGCGTCAACAATTAATTTTTCTGATTTCTCTATTTCTCTGATTAATCTTTGCACTTCATTATTTAAGTCGAGTAGGCTCTCATCTATCAAAATGTTAAGTTCGTTAGCTTGGCTTAAATCTCTAAGTTTGTTGAACTGTGCATTCATACGTTCTATCGAGCTGGAGAATTCATTCGCAAGTTCTTTATCACCCGCAAACATTTTTGAATATTATACTCGTTTGATTCTGAACATATTGTACGAGGTTTCTTTGATTTTTATACAATTTATCTAACTCCTGATTATAATAGGCCGCATCTGTATCGTCTAATATTTACTTTACTTCTCGATTTCTTCGTTCGGACTCCTGCTAAATACAATACGGTTTCTAAATCGCTTTCTATTTCACTTAATTCTATACGTTGTTTGTGGATTCTAAGCCTAGAAGAACAAGTCCAGCTTCGGTTTTGGACTGTGTTAATGCATTTTCTCGCTAACTGATCATAAGCTCCTTGGAGCTCCGCGAAATGTCTTTCTAAGTCGGATAAGTCGTATTCTATTATAATTTTCTATTGTTCGTGGTATAATTTTATTTTAGCTAATGTTTCTAAATAGACTATACTTTGTCGTTGTCAAGTTGCTTTCTTGAATATTTTTCAGTTTCCCCGTTATTCAGGTGACACTGTAAAAGTACTACCATCAGGAAAGCGATCAATCTCGGATTTATCTTCGCAATCTGAAATAAAAGGTTTAATGTCACTTCGGTGATATTGTTTTACTACCGTGTTTTTGTTTACATGATACGTTATATAATTATCATGTCGGATCACAAGAAAAGGACCTTTCCACTGTGATTCGAAAGATTTTGCATTGAAGTTTTTCACTAATACTAGATCTTTGATTTCAATTGGTGCGTAAGATTCATTAGAAATATTTGAATCTTGATATTTACATATGTTCCTACGTGCTTCTTCGAGTTTATTTTCATGCTGTATGCGCATGTTATCGACTTGGTTTTGAAGAGCCAATCGCTCACTTTCTTCACTGAAAATGTGATTGGGTTCTCTTCCAAATTGCAATTTGTAGGGAATATATCCCGTAGTTTTATTTACTGTGCAATTGTACGTGAGCATCGCTTGGGGTAGTATCATATCCCATTGCTCATTTTTGTTTATACAGTGTTTTATGTATTCTGTTAGTATAATATGCGATCTCTCGTTTTTCTCGTTCGATTGAAGATGGTAGATTGAGGTAAGGATGTGTTTTGCATGCAATCTATCGCATAAAGTTTTGAATTCGTCCGAAGTGAATTCGAGCGCGTTGTCAGTAAGAAATTCTTTTGATTTATCGAAGTATCTGAGCCAAGAATGCCAAAGAACTTTTATGATTGCCGCTGTTGATTTGTCAATAAGTGGTTCTGCTAGAATATATCGAGTAAAATAGTCTTGGATCACAAGGATATAGCGGTTTCCTTTGATAGTTATTTCAAATAGTCCCACTATATCGAGCGATACTTTCTCGTTAGGAGCTTTAGGAATGTGGGGAGGAATAAATATTAGGTTTTTGAGTTTCCCGTTTACTCAATTGGCAAATTTAGCATTTGTTAACAAATTCTTTTACGTCCACTGTTATGTTCGGCCAGTTGTATTTTTGTCTAATTTTCTGAAGCGTTTTTTCCGTTGAATAATGCTCGCCTAATATTCCTGAGTGAGCGTCCGCGATAATTTCCCTTTTATTTGTTATTTCCGGGTTGTATTCGGAAATGTAAACGTATAATTTTTCTCCGAGATAATATTCGTTGATAATCGCGAGTAATTTAATGATTTCCTTTTGATTATGTATTATGTTTAGATGTCGGTCGTTTTCAGTAAGGAAGTCATGCAATTGTGTACTCATCTGTCGGTGAGTTGCGTGTGGAAAAACGTAGATTTCGTTTTCCCTGGTGATTTCGGGTGGAGTTTCAATATACAATAGTTTTATTAGTAAGTTTACCGATTTGGTTTTTAGTTATTATTTCTTTGATTCTTTTGATTTCTGTTCGGGATTGTTCAGAGGAAGAAGGAAGACTGGGTGACGGAGAGTTACGGGGAGGCGTCGTTTTTGATGTAGAGCTAGGAATTGATGGAGTAGTAAACGGTGTCCCGTCAATAATTATTTTTGCTCTGTTTTCCAGATCGTGTTCAGCAATAACAGAGTCGATCATCTGTCGTGTTTCTTTGCTAAAAGATCCCTTAATTGTTAATGTTTATTTTGAAGGATTTGTGTCAGTGTTTTCGATAATAAGAAGTATGTGGGCACGTAAGAGGTTAAGAGTAATGAAATCAGGATCGATATTTTCTTATCCGAGGACCGAATCCTTATTAATAGCTAATTTGATATGAAAATTTTCTCTTTCTATTTCCGCAATAATTATCTGGATTTCGTCAAAGTTTTCTTGAGTTTTGT